TACAATAATCAACGTTTACGTTGCAACACGCGGACAGGAAGCTGAGCGAGATATAAATAGGATTTTACACTACGAGGACCTGACGGAGAGATGAGTCAGCAGCCCAGCGAGGGATCATCATGAGTAATCCCCGTCACAGGGCAGGGATCGTGCCAAGGCGCCCATATACGACATACTGATGATCCTGAATAGCCACAAACTTGTTACATTGTTGCCGCCGTCGAGGATCCATTCAGAGAGCTGCGTTTCTGTATTGTGCGTTTCACTGCTGTTAGAAACGAATGGCACCCCAATGCGCTGTACACTAAGGCCCATCGCGCCACCTGACGCGGCACTAACGTCCAATAGGTATCCCACTGCACTCCTGCGTGACACAGCGCGCCGCAATGCATATGACGTGGGTTGCGGTGCACTGCGTTAAACACGTGGTGCACGTCCAATTTTTAAGGTGTTAAGCTTCATTGTTGCTGTGCGTCAATTATTACACCCGTTGATGTGCGTTGCCTTAAGACAGCCCATTCGTTTCGACTCGTAGCATTCGACATACGTACAAGCTTTATGGTTTTTTATCAACGCGGTGAACCACAACGCACAGCTTGTTAGCAGAAACAAATCCCGGCACAAGTGCCCCCTCCAGCAGAAAAGTATTGAAAGGTCGTTTTGTCCACATGGCAGGGATATCTTATGCGTTTCAGCCTCCAATGCCTTAGCCGAGCTGTGACCAAGGCCATTTTAGGCTGAAACACGTCAGCTATTACTACTATTTGAGATTTCCTTCAATTATTGTTGGAGGAGACACTTGTGCCTGTTACTCCCCGGGCATATGAAGCAACCCCCCGCACTGCAAGGGTTAAATGCTCATTTATGTCAAGGGTACCTGAGTAAGCCAGCGTTACTTACCCGATCCCCGTTCCCCCGACAGCAGGCGCTCTCATCGCCTCCCTTACCCTCCGGCTTGTGGACTTTCCCTTGCCGTCCTCATGCATAATACCATGTTCGGGGGACTGTGATGTATGCAATGACATCAGTTGGCCTCCAACCACTGGGCTGTAGGGGGGGGGGGGGGGGT